GCGCCAGCCTTGTGGTTCAAACCAGCTTTGCAGTCTAGTGCATTAACCCACAGTGCCAGAGAGGGTTAAAAAGAGAGTTTGGGCTGAGGGTGAGTTTTTGTTACTGGCAGCAGATTCTTTTAGAAAAAGGTGATGGGAGCGCATCATGGAAACTCTCACCTGTGCCTCCGTGTGGAGGTGGTTGTGCTGGTGAGCGCTTTTGTGTGTATATTTTCAAGACAAATACAAGATGATAAAAAGGTGGGGAGCGAGACTGGATCCAGGGTGCATCCGCCTGTTTGGGAAAAGAACCCCGTAATGTCTGGCCCTGCTACTGGCTTCTAAGAGTACAGAAAAAGGTCCAGAGCAGCTTCTCTCCTTCCCTTAGACACACCAAGGCCGCCATATTGGAAAGGAAAGGAGGCAGGGGAGCTGAGCCCCAGGAGACCGAGGCCTTCCTACGGAAAGAAGGAAGCAAGAGGGGCCCGCTGCTGGGCGCTATCTGGCAGGTGTCCCGCTCAGCCTTCCTCCTGGGTACCCTCAGCCTTCTCATCAGCGACGTCTTCAGGTTCACTGTTCCCAAGCTCCTCAGGTGGGTCTAGACCTTGGGAATCTTGCTAAGGACTGTTCCATTGTTACTGTACAGTTGGCTCTTTAGCCCCTGCTGTCAGTAACACTAATGAGAATCAATGTGCATTTTATTCACAAATCTGGAAGGCTGCGAGATTCATCTCAGACTGTCTTGGCTTCCCCCATATGGTTGAAGTTTTTATACCCTCCTGGATATTAACCCATTTGTTTTTGTCACATTCGTTTCTCAGAGTTTACCACCCCACTCCCATCCGGTTAAGCAATCTGCATTCCCCCAGCTCAAAGTCCTTTACCCTCGGGGAGTAACTCCTTTGTTTCCCTTCAGACAAAGAGTGATATTATTGAAGACACTTGGGTACCAGACACTTGGGTACCAGACATTCCTCTAGTTTTCTGAGTTTTTAATGTACAATACACAACTGTTTCCACTGTGTATCACAGGAGCATGTACACAGGGAGAAGTTAGGACTGTAATGACTGGGACAATGACTTAAAAGGGTTTAAACAGAAAAAAAAAACCAACTTATTGACCATCCTTCTTTGGGTGGTAACGGCAAACCTCTAGGGCAAGTGGAGTTTCACCTTTGCTTCTTCTTTCTGCCCACATTCTGTCTTTCAAAGCCTCCAAGCCCAGAGCACCAAAGGGTGGGTGAGACAGATCCAGAGGAAGGAAAACCACTAGATGAGAAAGCAGTTGACCTTAGGAAGGAAAATGATGTAAACTCAGACCTGATTGTATCAGTTAGCTTTTTTTTTTCTTTTATATCAGTTAGCTTTTGCTGGGTAACAAAACACCCCAAAAGTTAATAACTTAAAACTGCAGACGTGTATTTATTTAGCTCAGTTCTTCATAATGTGATTCAGTGTTTGGATTAGGCTCAGCTGGGCAGTTCTTCTGGCCCTGGCTGGGTTCATTTTGATGCCTGTGGTCAGCTGCCGGGTTGGCTGGTGATTGGATAGTCTGAGGCTGCCTCAGCTGGGACGGCTTGAGGCTGATCCGTGTGCTCTCTCCTGCTCCAGATGGTCAGTTCAGTCCCAAGAGATGGAGCAAACGCTGCATGATCTCTTGGGGCTTTGGCTTGGATCTGGCACAATGCCACCTCTACCTTGTTCACATGGCCAGTCCAGATTCAAGGAGTGGGAAGAGCTCCTCTTGGTGGAGGGGCTGCCAAAGTCACAGTGGAGAGGAGTGTGAGCAGTGGGGGTGTTGTAGCCTGTTGTATGTCTACCACTGATGCTCCATACCTGGCCAGCCTTGGGGCAGGGCAGCCTCATGGGCATCTGTTCTTACCAGCTGCATCCTTTCCCTCTGCCCCAAGCCTGTTTCTGGAGTTTATCGGCGATCCTGAGGCCCCGGCCTGGAAGGGCTACCTCATCGTTGTGCTGATGTTCCTTTGTGCCTGCCTACAAACGCTCTTTGATCAGCAGCACATGTACAGGCTGAAGCTGCTGCAGATGCGGCTGCGTGCAGCCATCACTGGCCTGGTGAACAGAAAGGTGAGCCCCAGAAGGAGAGTTCCTTCCCCCCTAACAATCCACAGACGGAAGTTCCAGTGAGGAAAGGTAAGGCCATTTTCAGTGGCTGTGTTCTTGCTGATACTACACTCTCATCTCTCACACACCACTCTCCCCTCCTTAGCTGTTTCTGTAAGACCTTGCATACTGACACCCAGCCCTGGGAATCTCTCTGGGCCACATCATATCACATGACCTCTCCTCCCTAGCATATCCCCTTCCAACCTCATAGGTCTTCCTTCAGTTCCTGAGACCCCTCTCCCCCCGCCCCACCCCCCCCCTGCCTTGTCTAATTGGCAGACACTCTCCACACCTGTGGGATCAGCTCTGGACTGCTAGCCACAAGGTCGGCGATTCAAACCCACTAGCCACTCCTCCAAAACCCTACACAGGGTCATTATGAGTCAGAACCAACTCCACAGCACTTAACAGCAATAACTTCACACCCACGAGGATAAAGGGCTAACTCTCTGGCTGTGTAGGATTTCCAAGGTGACCTTGCAGTTCAAACAGACCTTGCTGTCTAGTGCTTACTTACCATACAGCACCACACCAGGACTCCTGGGATATAGTTGTTGTTGTTAAGTACCGTGGAGTCGGCTCTGACTCATAGTGACCCTGCACAGGGTTTCTGAAGCTGTAAATCTTTACGGGAGCAGAACGCCTCATCTTTCTCCCGCAGAACAGCTGGTAGTTTCGAACTGCTGACCTTGAGGTTGGCTGCCTGACTTGTAACCACTACGCTACCAGAGCTCCTTGGGATATAGTTAGCACTCAGTAAACAATCACTTGGCACTAACCCAGTGTCTTTATTGCTCTTACCATTGTTATATGCGATTATTGTATTCATTATCATTACCTCAGCATTTTAAGCAGTATTTTTGGTTCTGGCATATCCCTCAACTCCCACAATAGCCATGTGACAATGACCAAGGAGGTTTTATCAGCCCATATTACAGATTAGGAAACTGAGGTTCAGGGGGAAGAGCTGGACGCACGGTCGCTCAGTGCAGCCTGGAACCCAGCCTGCCAGGTGGCTGAGTTTTTGCTCCATCCTCACCAATAATCTCCGTCTCCACTCCTTCGTCCACCCTCTCTTCAGCCCCGCTGCCCTCCTCTGACATCAGACACTGTCCTGCCTTGCACAGGTCCTGGCTCTGTCCAGTGCCTCCAGAAACACCAGCGCAGTGGGGGACGTGGTCAACCTGGTGTCCGTGGATGTGCAGCGGCTTATCGAGAGCATCCTGTACCTCAATGGGCTGTGGCTGCCTCTCGTCTGGATCGTCCTGTGCTTCATCCTCCTGTGGCAGGTGCGGCAGGGCGGGGCGGAGAGAGACGGATTTGCACTGAATTCTCTTCCTTCCTCAGTCTGTCTGTGTCTGCACACCACGAGCAGGTAAAATGGGAAAAGGCATCACGTTGGATGGTCTGAGCTTGATGCCACCCTCTCTGGGCCTCAGTTCCTTGTCTGTAAAATGAGGCTGAGGGTGCTGATGCTGCCTATGATACTGGCACTTGTTGGGTGCGGTGTTGGGTATCCAACAGGCAGATTAAGTGTGTTTGAAGATGAGGCACCAGCAATCACGGGAAACAAAGACAGAGATTTTGAGGGAAACGATTGACTACCTCATTTTTGGAAAGCATTTGTTATTGTTGTTAGGTGCCAATGAGTCGTCACCAACTCATAGTGACCCTGTGCACAGAAGAACGAAATATTGCCCAGTCCTGGACCAACCTCACTGTTGTTGCCATGCTTAAGTCCATCTTGGCCAATCCATCTCGTTAGGGATCTTCCTCATTTTCTCTGACCCTCCATCTTACCAAACATGATATCCTTCTCCTGCGATGGTCCCTCCTGACAATATGTCTGAAGTATGAAAGACAAAGTTTGACCATCTTGGCCTCCAAGGAGCACTCTGGCTGTACTTCTGCCAAAACGGATTTATTGGTTCTTTTGGAAGCCCGTGGCACTTTCAATATTCTCCTCCAACACCATAACTCAAAAGCATCAATTCTTCTACGGTCTTCCTTATTCACTGTCTAGATTTTGCATGCATATGAGGTTATTGAAAATACCATGGCTTGGGTCAGATGCACCTTAGTCTTCAAGTTGACATCTTTGCTCTTCAACACTTTAAAAAGGTCTTGTGCATCGGGTTTGCCTAATGCAATACATCGTTTGATTTCTTGACTGCTGCTTCCATTAGTGTTGATAGTTGATCCAAGAAGAATGAAGTCCTTGACAACTTCAATCTGTTCTCTGGTGAGAAGAATGTTGTTTATTGGTTCAGTAGTGAGGATTTTTGTTTTCTTGACATTGAGATGCAATCCATACTGAAGGCTGTGCTCTTTGATCTTCATCAGTAAATATTTTAAGTCTTCTTCATTTTCAGCAAGCTAAGTTGTATCATCTGCATATCTCAGGTTGTTGATGATTCTTCCTCCAATGCTGATGCCATGTTTTTCTTCACATAAGCCAGCTTCTTGGATTATTTGCTTAGCATACAGGTTGAATAAGAAAGGTGTCGCACACCTTTCTTAATTTTAAACCATTCAGTGTTCCATGTTCTGTTTGAACAACTGCCTTTTGGTCCATGTACAGATTCTTCATGAGCACAATTAAGCGTTCACAATGGGGTCATTATGCTAAAAATCAAAAGTCTGTCTGACTTCTTTAAGTGCATTTTGTGATTTAAGCTTGTCGTTGTTGTTTGTTTTAATTAAGAGCACCGACTACGCAGGACTTTCTGAGTTTGAATCCTGTCTCTACTGTTTACTAGGTATAAAAACTCTCTGTACCACAGCCTCCTCATCTGTAAACTGGGATCATAAAGCCTCTGCCCTAGACTTGTGGATGGATTAATTATGTGACTCCTTAGAAGGCATTTGCAGTGATACCTGGCACAAAGTTGTACTCGTAGTTGTTTGTTAGGGTTACTGCTCTGTGTTATGCTTGGGGACTGTATGACTATCTTATTCTAGAGCATACCAGGGGTGAGTACAGAGCTCCACAAACGTTTGCTAAAAGGGCCAGGTAATAGTTTAGGTTTTATGGGCTACACGGTCTTTGTCACAACTATTGGACTCTGTGGTTTAATACAAAAGTAACCATGTTGTTGTTTTGTGCCATCAACTCACTTCCAACCCATAGCATCTTTATAGGACAGAGTCGAACTGCTCCAGAGGCTGTCCTCTGGAATCTCTATGGGAGCAGACCATCAGCTCCTTCTCCCTCACAGTAACTGATGGGGTCAAACCCCCAACTTTTCACTTAGCAGCTGAGTACTTAACCACTGCATCACCAGGATTCTTTCCCAAAACAACCATATTGTTGATGTTGTTTAAGTGCGTTGAGTCAATGCTGATGCATAGCGACCCTGTATAGGGTTTCCGAGGAGCAGCTGGAGGGTGTGAACTGCTGATCTTGCAGTTCAAGCCGACCTTTCAGTCCAGTGCATTATCCTACAGCGCCACGATGGACGTGGCTGTGTTCCAATACAATTACTGTGTGTGCAATGAACTTAGAATTACATGGAATGTTCACATATCATGAACTCTATTCTCCATTTGATTTTTTAAAGCCATTAAAAAATGTCAAGACCATTCTTGGTCACGGGCCGGCTGTGGAGTCCATTCTGACTCATAACTGACCCTATAGAGCAGAGTAGAGCTGTCCTATAGTGTTTCCAAGTCTGTCGTCTTTAGTCTTTACAGAGCCGACTGTTACATCCTTCTCCCTTGAGCAGTGGATGGGTTCAAACCACCAGCCTGGTCTTCTGGACCACCGTGGCACCCGTGTACAAACACATGCTACAGAATTTGGCTCCTGGACCATAGTTCATGGCCCCCTGTGTGGAGATACTAGTGAGACAAGGATGGTGCCCCTCCCATTCTTCTCACCCACCTCTTGCTTGGGAGATGACTCAGCACTTTGTTGACTTGGTCACATTGAACTCCAGGGCCTGGTACACAGTTGGTGCTCAGCAAGTACATGCAGGACATTTCAAACAGTGCCGGACACACTGTAACAAGAGGGAGGGGAATAAGGAGAGGCCTGGGAAAATGCAGGACAGTGGAGAGGGTAAAGCACAGGCCAAGGTGATACCAATCAGCCGGGGCCGGCAAGCCACTGACATCATTTACTATCATGTTGTAGAAATGCAATCCTGGCTCATGAACCGTGATGGGAAAGGTTAGGGTTGACAAGACTTGCTTGAGTCAGGCTCATGTAAGTAATAGTTGGAACTCTGAGTTATGGTGCCTCTCTAGGCCTCAGCTGCCTCATCTGTAAAATGGGGAAATACTTCACTGAGGGAAGAGGTATGTCAAGCTAGAAACGCTCGTCCAGAACCTATAAATGCCTGATTTTACCAGAAAAGAAAGAGGGAACCAAAAATAAGAGCTGTGGCGAAGTAGGAAAACTAGGTTAGAGCCATGGTGGCCGCCAAAAGCTTTTCAAGAACTGATGGTTGGCGGTCAGCCTTCAGAAGCACGTGGAGCGTGGTGATAACTGGCAGTTAGTAGGCTTGGTTGTTGTGTGCGCTCATAGAGTCTTGGGGTGGTGCTGTAGGATAAGCACTGGACCACAAGGTCAGTTTGAACCACAGGGCTGGCAGTTCAAACTACCAACTGCTCCTTGAAAAGCCTAAGCAAAGTCACTATGCGTCGGAACCGACTCAACGGCACTTAACAACAGCAACTGTGTGGTCATGGTTATTGTTGCAACCTGGACAGAAATGAGGGCAGGAAGTAGGGATTGTGAAAAAGGTCAATCGTGAGAATATGCAAGTGGCAAGAGCTAGACCAAAAGTCCCAATAGGATCCTGTCTCTGCCACCTCATCATACCGTCTTCTGGCCCACAGTAAAATTTTTGTACAACAAGCAATGTACTTCGAACTAAAAGGTTGCTGGTTCAAGCCCGCCACCTGCTCTGCAGGAGAAAGATACGGTTTTCTGCTTCTGCAAAAATTTACAGCCTCATAAACCCTATACAGTGTCACAATGAGTCGAAACTGATTCAACAGTACCTAACAACAAATAGAAGTTTGAAAATTTTGCAAAAAGGTAGAGAAATAAGTCAGCACCTTGGTGCGCTTTCCTGGCTCTTGGCAGGCCCTCCTGCTTAAGGAGTGGTCGGGCCTTGGGGCTTGTTGCGGTGGAGGTGGTTGTTGTTGTTGTTGTTATGTGCCGTGGAGTCGGTTCCGACTCATAGTGACCCTGTACGGGATTTCCGAGGCTGTAAATCTTTATGGGAGCAGAAAGTCTCATCTTTCTCCCACTGAACAGCTGGTAGTTTCAAACTGCTGACCTTGCGGTTTGCAGCCCGATTCGTAAACACTACGCTACCAGAGCTCCTTCGGTTCTGACTCATATGACTGTACAGGATTTCCGAGGATTGCCTATGGGATTTGAACCACCAACTTTTAGTTTAGCAGTCTGGTGCTTCTACAGTGCTATGCTACCATTTGGGAATTTAGCCCTTTGTTGACAAATATTTGAGTAGTTCAGACTCCTACTGGTGTAGTTACAAGTCTGGCTGCTAACCTCAAGGTCAGCAGTTTGAAACTACCAGCTGTTCTGCAGGAGAAAGATGAGGCTTTCTGCTCCCGTAAAGGTTTACAGCCTCGGAAACCCTATGCAGGGTCGTTACGAGTCGAAACTGACTCCACGGCACCTAACCACCACTACCATTAGAGGACCACATGGGCACTTCTCTGTTGATCCACTAGATGGCGCCATTGCAGCACCAATTCATTCAATTTGCTCACAGGTTCCCAAGATTAGAAACCAATAGTTCCTGAAGCTAAGAGGGGAAACTGAAGGCCAGAGACTGGGACCAGGCAGTGCTCCTCCGGAGGATTAGCTTGATTGCCCTCAGGAGGAATCAGTTCACAGCTTGAGGTGAATTTAGAAATGATTGACTTGTAAAGATTGATTTCATCTCCTCATTTTCCAGACCAGAAACCAAAGCTGAGAGATGGAGTAAGGCTATCCCAAAGTTACAAAGCTTGTTAAGGGCATAGAGTTGCCAGACAGAAAAAGGGTGCCCAGCTAAATGTGAATTTGAGATCAACAGCCAATCGTTTCTTTGTATAAGCATATCCCAAGTATGCATGGGACATACTTACACTAAAATGAACACTTGGTATGTGCCATGGCCTGTCTCCCCCGGCCCAAGCTGAGGAATTTTCAATAAACTCATATGCATGTGAAACTTGGACAATGAATAAGGAAGACCATAGAAGAATAAATGCATTTGAATTACAGTGTTGGAGAAGAATATTGAAATTACCACGGACTGCCAGAAGAACAAACAAATCTGTGTTGGAAGAAGTACAGCCAGAATGTTCCCTAGAAGCTGCTGGTGGTGGTGGTGTGCCGTGGAGTCGGTTCCGACTCATAGCGACCCTGTACAGGGTTTCCGAGGCTGTAAATCTTATGGGAGCAGAAAGCCTCATCTTTCTCCCATGGAACAGCTGGTAGTTTCGAACTGCTGATCTTGCGGTTAACAGAAGCTAGGATGGCAAGATTTAGTCTCTCAGACTTTGGACATAATAACCAGAGGGACCAGTCCCTGGAGAAGGACATCATGTGTGGTAAAGTAGAGGGTCAGAGAAAAAGAGGAAGATCCCCTCTTATGAGAAGGATTGGCACAGTGGCAGTGCAGTGGTGGGTTCAAGTGTAACAGCGATTGTGAGGGTGGTACAGGGCTGGGCGCTGTTTCCTTCTGTGGTGTGTAGGGTCACTATAAGTGGAAGCCGACTCGATGGCACTCAACAATCACAAAAACAACGTCCTATCTCAAACACTTGACCTTCAGTCCACTTAACAGCCACATTGTTGCTGTTAGCGGCTCCCAGGGTCAGCAGCTCCCAGGATGGTCAGCAGCACAGCAGAGTAAAACGCGCCAGGTCCTGCACTGTCTCCAGCGTCATTTGGAAATTAGACCAATGGCTGATTTTCAGAAGTACATCACTAGACCTTGCTTCCTATCCATCTTAGCTTGGAAGCTCCACTGAAACTTTTGAGCATCCTAATCACACACAAGCCTCCACTTTAAGGTGCATTGGGTGGGAATTGAACCCCGGTCTCCTGCATGGAAGGAGACACATGGTAAGTGACAGGCCAACATTTGAACCTGGTCCTGATTTCAGTGGTCCCAACTTCACTCTCTTGCCCTGTCCCTCTTGATGCCTGTCTTAAGTATAACCCCACCCCACCCCCTCTGTGTGAGGTGGCTTACTTCCTCTCCTTAGAGGAGAAGGACCCCATTTTCAGAAGGCCTCTCCTTCCATGGACCCCCATGGTCTCAGTCTCCAGGACTTGGTGGCTGCTACTCTCCAACTCCCTGGCTCTCCCCACATCAGGACCTGAGTGTGAGCCCAGCACTGACCAAATCCCTCAGGGCCAACAGCTGGGCCCCTGCCCGCTTCTGTCCCCAGCTCCTAGGACCATCTGCCCTCACAGCCATTGCTGTCTTCCTGGGCCTCCTCCCTCTGAATTTCTTCATTACCAAGAAGAGGAACCACCATCAGGTTTGTATTGGGAGAAGGAATGCTGGGAGGGGCTGGGGAGTTGGGTAGGGTGGCACTTTCTGGTGAGTCTTGCCCCTCTCTCTGACCTGCCCCCATTCCAGAAACTGGGGGTCTCCTTCCCTCACACCCACTGCACCAACACATTCAGTCGAGCTCTCCTTCTAACTATCAAGAAGTGCCCCTCCTGCGGCCCTCCCAACCCCACCTATCTCACCTGCACCCTGCAGTTAGCTCCACTCTGCCTCGCCCCCACAGCCTCTCCACGTGTCTCACCTTTTGCCTAGAACCCACAGAGGCCTCAGAGGTCTCCTCTCTCCCCAAGTCAAAGCCAGGGAGAGTGATCTGCGTTCTAGACTGGCCCCCTCCTCTCTGCCCCTTTGGCCCCAGGAAGAGCAGATGCGGCAGAAAGATGCTCGGGCGCGTCTCTCCAGCTCCATCCTCAGGAGTGCCAGGGTCATCAAGTTCCACGGCTGGGAGGAGGCCTTCCTGGGCCGAGTCCTGCACATCCGGGACCAGGAGCTGGGCGCCCTGCGGACCTCCGGCCTCTTGTTCTGCATGTCCCTGGTGTCCTTCCACATGTCCACGTTTCTGGTGACGTCACTCAGCTCTCACTGCAGAGCTTGGGGTTGCTGAGGGCAGTGAGGCTGGGTAGCCCCAGATCCCGGTGACCACCTTCCCCACCCACAAACATACCTGTTCTAGGTCTGTTTGTCCAGATCCTGCTTTCTAAGTTTGCTAACCAATCGCTTCTCATCCCATTGAGGTGACAAAGGCTGGTACTTAGCCCACCCTCCCTTCTCCACCTGAAAGGAACCCTGGTGGTTGAGTGCTTAGTTATTAGCCAAAAGGTCAGAAGTTCAAACCTACCAGCCGCTCCATGGAAGGTCCATGTGGCAGTTGTTTCCATGGAGATGACAACCCGACACCCTCGGGAGTAGCCCTATTCCACCCTGTAGGGTTTCTGTGAGTCCGACTCGACTCGACAGCAGTGGGTTTGGGTTTCTCCTGGAGTCCCGGGCAGCTGAGATGGAGAGAAGCTTAGAGATGCAGCTACTGCTTAGGTGGTCTCTTCACAAATCTGCCTGGCCTTGAGGATGCGCCACAAAGCATGGCAGAGAGACCCCCTTACACACACACCAGGCCTGGGAGTGTCGGCTTCCTCCTTTCCTTTAGTTCACAAACTGCTGCTGCAGCTCTGACTCAGGCCAGGCCTCTACTCAGTGACTCACCACTCCTTCCAGAATAATCCATGCTCTTCATCAGACGGCAAGGCTAGGGACACAAGGGCCTTTCCCATGGTTACCTCTAGGAATTAGGACTGCAGGGGCCATTAGCCAGAACAGATGGCACAATGTGGTTACACAACTGCAAGGACTGACACTTAGAACCACGAAGGCTCCCCAAACAGCTCAACTGAGTCCTTACAACTCCAGATGACCACTATCTCCAGTGACCACTACTCTAGGTGACACCATCATGAGTGACCGTCACACCGAGTAATCATCATCCCCAGTGACCACTACACCATATGACATGAGCCGCCATCAGTCGGTCATACCAAGTAACCATTCCACCAATTCACCATCGTATCACCAGTGACACCTAGAAATAAAACGTCACCAACACCCAGCCCTAAACTAGCCCCCGTGACACCCAGAACCACAAAAGCCACCAGTCCTGACAGCCTTCAGTGCTGCTAGAGCACCAGCTTCAGAGTCAGCTTCCAGGGCATTCTGGAACCACAAGTCCCACTTGTGTCCAGACCCTCTGCTGTCCAGGTGATTCTGACTCAGTGACCCTGTAGGACAGAGGAGAACTGCCTCATTGGGTGTCCAAGGCTGTCATCTCTACAGGTGAGTCCTGGGGTGGTGCTGTGGGTTAGTGCGCTGGACTGCAAGGTCAGTGGTTCAAGCTCACTGGCTGCTCCTTGGAAACCCTATACAGGGTTACTATGGGTCGGAACCGACTCATCTTTTTCCCGCAGAACAGCTGGTAGTTTTGAACTACTGATCTTGTGGTTCGCAGCCTGATTCGTAACCACTGTGCTACCAGAGCTCCTTATGACACCAGGGCAGAACCACTAAAATGCTGCTAATATCTAGAGTTACAATCTTTCTCAATGCCTGAAACCATGAGTTTCTGATACTTTGAATGATGGGAACACCCATTCATTCCCCTGCTTTACAGTACTCACGTATGAAAAGGATAGACGCCATCTTTTTATGACATAGGAGCCATGATGGCACAATGATTAAAGCACTCAATTTCTAACAGAAAGATCAAGGGTTCACACCTACCAGTGGTCCCGCAAGAGAAAACACCCAATGATTGGATAGGGAGCATTATGGGGCAGTTCTCCTGTGTCACATGAGTCCGTGTGAATTAGCATCAACTTGGTGGCACACAGCAATGACCTAAGATGAGGATTGGGCTGGGGGTAGAAGAGTTTGGAGTGAGATCTCTGTATTCCAACAGTGTGTACCTGTCCAATGGGCCACAGCTAGTGGTCCACAGCTAATCTGGGCCCCCCAGCTAGAAATGAAGCCCCATACTCACCATGCCTGTGTCTCACCAGGTGGCACTGGTTGTGTTTGCTGTCCACACTCTGGTGGCTGAGGAGAATGCCATGAATGCAGAGAAAGCCTTTGTGACTCTCACAATTCTCCACATCCTCAACAAGGCCCAGGCCTTCCTGCCGTTCTCCATCCATTCCATTGTCCAGGTGAGGCCAGGGTGGAGGCTGCCTTGGGAAAGTCAGCAGTGCCTGGGCCCTGTCCTCCCTGAGCCCACTGTCAGCAGACAGGAAAGGAGATGGAGAGAGTGAGGAAGGAGCAGTGGGAAGAAGAGGAGAACCAGAGGGTGCAGCAGAAAGAGAAGCAACTTAGTCTTGAAGACAAGATGGCGGCCTTAGAAATGCTGAAAGTACATGCACCAATCTGTCCATCATTCTGGGTTCCGTTGACACAGAGCAATGTCAGACATCCCCGAACCACCCATATTAAATGGCTGCTGCTTTTGTTACCAAAAATGGATGGGTTATGGGAAAAAAAAGCAGGAGTCTCTCAGGTGGACAAAGTTTGAAATGATTTCTTAAAATGTCTTCATGGTGCTATCAGAAAGTCCATCGGCCTCTTCCCCAGTCTTGTGTGCAGAATAGTTGGTTGGTTGATCCAGTTATGCTCATCAGAAATAATGAGGTAGAAGGGACCACCACTTCCCTCTGCCCTGTTTCAGTCACCCAGGAAACCACAATATGTAGGGCTCATTAGATGGGACTCTTTCCTGCACATCTTGGGGCACCTGATTTGCTCTCTAGCATTGGTGACGTGAGGCTTTGGATTCCGCAGGCCCGTGTGTCCTTTGACCGCCTGGTCACTTTCCTGTGCCTGGAAGAAGTGGCCCCTGGTGCTGTGGACACACATCCATCCAGCTGCTGTGAGTTCTGAGTTGAGTGTGGGAAGGATGGAGGGGGGTTGTGGGGCTCCCCAGACTATCAGCAAAGGCCAGTGTCCTAGCTAGGAGGAAGCAGCGGGGCTGTCCTGAATGGGACGGCACATTGAGATCATGTCCCTTGCTTTGCAACTTGGAGACAGGCCAGTGGGACCGCTCTTTCCACCAGTCATGCAACAAATGCTGGTTGAGCCCCTGCACCCATCTGGGTGTGTGGTGTGAGCAGGACAGACCAGGGAGTTAGCAGGGTGGCGTTTCAACAGAAAACATCAGTGATATTGAGGATGCCATTGTACCCTGAGACCCACTTAGCTTTACTTACCTGCGCCTTGCCACGCTGGCCCAGTGCCTTCAACACAGCATCTGTGGATCTAGAGGCTTTAATTGCTATAATGGGAGGGCCAACTCACCTTCCCTTAATGTAACAGGAATAGTCAAACTGCTTGGAGTCCTGTAGGATAAGCACTGGACTGCTAACCATAAGTCGGTGGCAAACTCTCCAGCTGCTCCTTGGGAACCCTATACAGGGTTGCTGTGAGTTGGAACTGACTTGACTACACCTAACAACAATAACAGTCTGCTTACCTAGAAGACACCAGCCTCATTTTTAAAAGCCCACCTGTTCACATTAGACAGCCTAGGGTCCAAATCCTGACCTTGCCACCAAAAAGCTGTGTTACCTTGACAAGCTATTCTCTCTCAGCCTGTGTTAATGGTGGTGATGGCAATGTGCCATGGAGTCGGATCTGACTTAATAGCCACCCTGGAGAGGGTTAAATGAGTTCATAATCGAGCTGGACTTAGAGCCAGGCACAAAATAAGTGCTGAGTTATTTTATGATAAGAAGGTAGCCTGGTGGTGGTGGTTGTATGCCATGGAGTTGCTTCCGACTTACAGCGACCCTGATTGGCTGATGAGTTTGAGCCCGCTGACCTTGTGGTTAATATCCGGTGCCTATCCTACAGCACCATACCAGGACTCCTAAGATCACCTGGTGATTTTAATTAACTTTGTTGTTGCTGTTGTTAAGTGGCGTTGAGTCAGTTTTGACTCAGAGAGACCCTGTATAAATTTCCAAGGCTTTAAATCTTTGTGGGAGCACAAAGCTTCATCTTTCTCATGCAAAGCAGCTGGTGGGCTTGAACTGCTGACCTCGTGGCTTTCAGTCCAGTGCTTATTCTACAGAGCCACCATATCCCCATAATTATTATAATGAATTCATTATTTCAGTTATTATTATAATGATTATTAGCAACTACACCACAAATGGAAGTAAACTAAAAATCTTTTGTTGTTGGATACCAGCGAGTCAATTTTCGACTCCTACTGACTCCATGCCACAGAGTAGAGCTGCCCTGTGAGTTTCCTAGGTTACAATCCTTATGGGAACAGCTCATGAGGTCAGTCTCACATGAAGCTTTGGGGTGGATTCCAACAGCCAGTTAGCAGCTGATCACTTAACTGTCTGTATCACTAAGACATCAAACTTGGGCTTCTGAGGCTCCTCAAAGCTCTGGCACATTCTCAGCTAGAGCACAGCCATGTCCCCGAGTCGGTGTGAAGCCTGAGCTCAGAACGCAGGTGCCAGGCTTATCCCAGGTAGGGTCCTAGGTTCCTCAACTGCAGTGTGCAGCTTGTGCCCACAGCTTGTAGCATCCTCCAAAGAGTGCTTTCTCCTTTCCCCACAAAGAGTTCCGGGTTCCTTCCGAGGGCAAGCATCTCCCCGCTAAAACCATCAGTAGCCACTGTGTCCACTAGACACAGAGGGGACAATTAGAATGTAACGCGTGTGCATTCCACGCCCAGTTAATGCCTGTTGTCCTGGTGAAATCCACAGCACACCCTTTCACTCTCCAAAGTGTTCTGAATGGGCAAAAAATGATATCAGTAGTCCATACACTTTCTCGTGAAAAGGGTCAGATAGCAATTCCTTTAGCCTTGTGAACTCTCTGTTCCGACCACTCAGTTCCATCATTGTAGTGAGAAAGCAGCTATAAACGATGCATAAACAGGTCGGGGAGAGGACTGTGTGCCAATACACTTTATTTACAAGACGAGGTAGTGGGCCTGATTTGGATTGTGGTTCGTAGACCCTTGAATTCTGTATGTAACTGATGCAGTAAGAACACGACCTCCCCAGGGTCACAGAGCAAGCCAGGCAGTAGTGGGACCATTTGTTTAATCTGAGATTCCCTCCTGCACTTGCTGCCCCTCGGAGCAAGACCAGGGGGAACTCTTGGAGCATCCCTGTTAACTAGCCTCTCCTGCCACACAGCTGCCGGGGAGGACTGCATCACTGTACGCCACGGCACCTTCGCCTGGTCCCAGGAGAGCCCTCCCTGTCTCCAGAGGTACAGAATGGCCACCCTGCTCACCATGTTTGTGTTTACAGGGAACTGACACGCCACTTCCTGTGTGAGAGGTGGGCTAGGCTGGTCCCGGGCTCTGCGGGGGAGATTCCTAGGACCCCCATACCTGGCACAGAGAGTCTTGGGAAAGGAAAGTTTGTGGTGTTGTGTACTGAATAGGGTATTTGAATTTCCCCCAGTCTGGCACTATAGGATAAGCACTGGACTGTTAACTACAAGGTCAGCGGTTCACACCCACCAACCACGCCTTGTAAACCCTCTACAAGGTTGTACTATAAGTTGGAACTGACTCAATGGCACTTAACAACCACCACCAGGAGGACACCCCTCTGCTTCCCAGGTTGGCCAAGATGGCGCCATGGGAGGCCAAGTCAAGAGGAATCCAAAGACACCCCTCAATCATAGAACTGTTACTCCCTTCCCCCCATCAACTTTCAGACAAATAGATAGGAATGTGCTCCTCACTGTAGTCAAAAGGGCAGCATTTGCCCCAAAGCAAGGCTTCAGAGGCAGGCAGGGGCAGGAAGGAAGGACCCAGGGAAGGAGTCAGAAGGACATTGCTGTCCTGAGGGGATTACAACCGATGTCATGAAGCAAAACATGCACAAAGTGTCAAATGGAAAACTTAATTTGTTCTGTAAACTTTCATCTAAACCACAGTAAGAAGGGTTTTCCCAAAAAAGAGGATCCCTAAAGCCAGGCACCATCTGTCCCGCCTGTCTCGGTCATCAGGTCATTGCCACCTCCAGCCTCCAGCTCTTTGGCTGGGTTCAGGGTAGAAACCCTACCGGGCTCCAAAACTCAAGTACTTAAGAAGGAAAAGAAAGTTCCATGGACAGTAAAACACACACACTGAACTGCCCTTGAGTCGGTTCCTACTTAGTAAAAAACAAATTTCTTGTTGTCAAGTCAATTCCAACACAAGGTTGTTGGTTCAAACTCACCAGCCGCTCCTTGGAAAGCCTATACTGGGTCACTATGAGTCGGAACCGACTCGATGGCACTTACAATAACAACAGCAGCACAGGGTAGATCTGCCCTGTTGGGTTTCGAAGGCTGTCGTCTTTACAGAAGCGGACTGCCTCATCGTTCTCCCACAGAGAGGCTGGTGGATTCAAACACCTACCTTTTGGTTAGCAACTGAGCACTTTATCACTGTACCACCAGGGTTCCTTGGATACCTACATATCCCTGATTTTCTGGAGGTAGATCCCCAGGCCTTCTAGTGTACCTGTGGGTGGAGTTGAACCGCCACCTTTCCGGTCAGCAGCCAAGTACTTAACCAGTTACACTTCCCAGGGACTCTAGCCTAGGCAGACCTTAAGTCCGCTGTCATTCATTCACCACACAGAATTTAGTGAGCATTTACTATGTGCCGGGGACACTATCGTGAACAAGACAGATGAGCTCCCTGCTCTCTTGGGGCTGACATTGTAAAGATGAGGCGCCAATGGGAAATCAGGGTGAGGGGACAGGGTGTGCTGCTGAGGAAAGGAGGGCTGGCATTGAAGCTGAGATGGGAATGAAGGGAAGGAGTGAGGCTGGCAGGTGTCTGGGGACAGGACTTTCTGGGCAGTATAACAGCAAGTGCCAAGGTCCTGTGACTGGAGAGTACCCAGACCAGGATTCCTCAGCCTCAGCACTGCTGACATTTGAGTGACAATCTCCCCATCCATTGGTGGCAGCCTTGCAGGATCCCTGGACTCTTAACTACTAGATGCCAGGAGGGCCCTCCCCCCCTTCCCCCCTTCCCCCAGCTTGTCACAACCAAACATGTCTCCAAACATGGCCCAAGCCCCCCTCAGATGAGACCACTGGCTCTTGTGTTCAAGAAGCAGCAGGCGGTCAGTTGGCTGAGGTGGGCACCTAGGCGGAGTGGTGGGAGATGTGCAGGACGAGATCAGCAACTGTCAGGACTTGGCTTTAACCTCTGGGGTAGAGGAGGGTGCACAGCAGGCAATGGGGGCATACGGCAGGAACCTGGGCGTGAGACGTTGCAGGTGAAGCCCTCCTGCCACCTGGGATTCTGTGTGATGTGTAAGCATTGTGTGAGCATCTGTGTGCCTACTCGTGTATGTATACATTGTGCAAGCATGTGTGTGCGTGTACATATGTGTGTGGGGGTGTATGTTGGCACACACCTGCAGTAACTGTGCATACTTGTAGTGCGTAGGCAGTGTGCACGTGTGTACACACGAGTGTGTGCATGTGTGGTACATGTGTGCAGGTTTGTAGTGAGCATGTGTGTGTGTGCATACACGTGTGCAGAGTGTGCACTTTGCATTGAGTATAGTGTGTGCGTGTGTGTGCTGCATGCACACTTGTAGTGAGCATGTATTGTGTGTGTGTGTACACATGTGACTGCATGCATGGGCATGTGCACATATGAGCGCATGTGTGCATGCTGTGTGTGTGTGTGCACACGGTGTAGGGGAATGGCTGCTCAAGTGACCAGACAAGGACTGGGTGGGAAAGAACTTTTGGTGAGTCCCCGGATGAGCCACCCAACTAGAAAGCTGGGCTCTGCTGGGGGCTCTACACTGCTGTGCAGATGGCCTGGGCCTTCCCCAGGGCCACAGCTCGCCTCCTGTGTTGCCAGGATCAACCTCACGGTGCCCCAGGGTTCTCTGCTGGCTGTCATTGGTCCAGTGGGGGCAGGGAAATCCTCCCTGCTTTCTGCCCTCCTAGGAGAGCTTTCCAAGGTGGAAGGAGCAGTGAGCACCAAGGTGAGGCCTCATGCCCCTGCCTGTATGCTAAACCCATTCCCATCTTACAAGCCCCTCTGATCCTCCCAGCTCCTCACACTCTTCCCCAACCCCTCCCAAAGTGCTCCTGTCTCTGCCCCACCCACCTCCCAGTGACCAGGGTGAGCTGTGTTGTAGGGTCCCGTGGCCTACGTGCCCCAGGAGGCATGGCTCCAGAACGCCTCGGTGGTGGAGAACGTGTGCTTCCAGCAGGAGCTGGACCCGCCGTGGCTGGAGCAAGTCCTAGAGGCCTGTGCTCTGTGGCCGGATGTGGACCGCTTTCCCGCGGGAGTGCACACTCAGGTTGGGGAGCAGGTAGGTCCTCAGGCTTCCTGGGAGGCAGTGTGGTGGGTGGTGTGGAGAAAACCGTGGAGGGGAAGATAGGACAGCGGAGACATGGGAGAGAAGATGGGCCAGCTTAGCATCACGTACACAGTGGTGGGGGTGTTGTGTGCCATGGAGTCGGTTCTGACTCATAGCCACCCTGCATAGGGTTTCTGAGGCTATAAATCTTTTCTCCTGATGAGCAACTGGTAGATTCCCATTGCTGACCTTGTGGTTAGTAGCCCAGCTCATAACCCTCTATGCTACCAGGCTTAAGCACACACTTGGAAAGTGCCTAAACAGTCATGAATGGACAAGAGATCAGAAATAGAGACTTAGGGAGAAGCGGGACAGGGTTTTGTGCTACAGACTCTCCAGTCCTGGAGCGACAGGACTTGGGCTCCTGCCTCCCTTTACTTGCCTTATGGGGGCACATGGACAAATTGCTACCTGTCTCAGGGTCTCCGCCAAGGTTCTGGGCATCAATGTCTTAGAATCAAGGTCTGGGTTTTGTAAATAGTTTTATTGGAACAGAGCCACGCCCATCCGTGCACCCCTGGTTGTGACTGCTCTGTGTAAGTAGTTGCCACGGGTCCTTCCACAAGCCTAAAATGGTCGCTACCCGGTTCTTTATGGATGGAGCTGGTGGCCCCTGGATTAAGGGATTGTCAGTGGAAGAGTGGGAGTTAGTGTTAAGGGTGTGTGCGAGGTGTCCTGGGGGAGGAGGAGGAGAGAGGACGGAAGGGTCTCCAGGAGCCCCCAGGTAGACTGGAGCAGAGGTGAACCGAAGAAGCTGAGAACGGGGCAGGGGCTGAGTGCTTGCCTAGTGGCATCTAAAGTTTGTCCAGCTGAATCATGTACAGAGCCAAACATCTGACCTTCTAGTACCTTGTCTTTCCTCCGCCTGCCCACCTCATTCCTCCAAGACTCCACTCCCAAACCGTGATGCCATCCTTGAATCCTCCTCTTCTCTCACACTACATCTCATCCGTCCACCCTCCGAGCATACCCAGAATGCTCTGGTATTGTCCACCATCAACTCCCTACGTTGGCTTCAGTGACCTCCTCTTGGCCTGTCTACCCTCCCCTACTCATCAAATCCCAGCTGCGGAGTCTTATAAACATCAGGTCACGTCCAGTGTCTCCCCTTTTTCCTCAGAGTCAAAACCAAAATCCTGACAGTTGCCAAACAAACTGCCCCCTAATCTGACCCCAGCTATCTCTAACCCCATTTCCTGCTGGGCTCACCCTTCCCACCGCACTCCTGCTACATAGGTCTCCCACCCAGAGTATCTCCCACCTCGGTCCCTTTGCACCTGCTGTTACCATACTTGGAAAGCTCTTCCCAGGGGTCCTTGGCTCATCCCTCACTTCTGTTGGATGTCAACCAATATGTCACCTTAATGGGGAGGTCTCCCCTGTCCACACTGGTACACCCCACACCCCACTGCTCTAGTATTCCTCACAGCACCATTTGATATACTTGTATCATAGAATCTGTCCAATTCATAGCGACCTGTATAGGGTTTCCAAGGAGCAGCTGGTAGATTTGAACTGCTGACCTTATGGTTAGCAGTCCAAAGCTTATCCTAGAGTGCCTCACCAGGTCTTAGTTACTTATTTATTGTCTGTCTCCTGCCCACCCCCATTAGAATGTAAGAGCTATAAGAGAAGATACTTTGTTTTGTTCGTTGCTATGTCCCCACACTGGCTATATGGCAGGCCAGTTGACTAACTCATGGTGACCTCAGGTGTTAGAGAAGAACCGTCTCTGTAGGGTTGACAGTAGCGGATTTATTTTTTGGAAGGAGATCTCAAAGCCTTTCTCCCAAGCACTTCTGAAGGGACTCAAATCTCCAAACTTCTAGGTAGCAGCTGAGCACCTTAACCATCTTCACCCCTAGGGCCCTCTGAGTACATAGTAGACATGTAGGTAAATATCAGGTGGAGGAATGACTGATGAACGACAAGAAGCAATTGGTGTCAAGATGGCGACAGAAGCCAGAGTGAAGGAGAAACAAGTGAGACTGGAGATGGAGAATGAAAAAAGCTCCTCCAGGAAGCCAGGCAGTCACAGGGAAAAGAGAAGCTGGGTGGAGGTTGGAGGGGTTGGTCTGCTGCAACGAGAGCAAGTCGTGGCAGCTGAAGCCCTACCCCTCTCTCGTGGCCGTCACAGGGCATGAATCTCTCAGGGGGCCAGAAGCAGCGGCTGAACCTGGCCCGAGCCGTGTACAGAAAGGCGGCCGTATACCTGCTGGATGACCCCCTGGCGGCCCTGGATGCCCGTGTCGGTCAGCACGTCTTCCACCAGGTCATCGGGCCCAGTGGGCTGCTCCAGGGAACGGTAACACTGGGGAGGGTGTGTGAGAGGAGCCCCCTGTCAATTTTACTACCCCTCCTCCAGTCCAGCTCTCTGATTTGTACTGGTCAGCTGTTGCTAGGTCCTGCTGCGTAACAAACAGCCCCCAGAGCTCAGTTGTTGACACCAGCTCACTGGTCTGGGGTCCCGCTTCTACATCTCTGGGCCAGGCTCAGGTGAGCTCCATGTGTCGTCTTGTTTGGAGACATGGCTTAAAGGAGCCTCCTCTATTGGGACATGCTGTTTCCAAGGAAGTGGACAGAACAGTGGGGGGAGCCTGCCAGGTACTCTCAGCCTAGGGACACCCCCCACCATCTCAGTTATGGCAGGCTGATCCAGCAAATGAGTGTATCTTCCTCTCCTTCCCTCCTCAGACACGGGTCCTTGTGACTCATGCGCTCCACATCCTGCCCCAGGCTGATCGGATTGTGGTCCTGGTGGATGGGGTCATTGCAGAGATGGGATCCTACCAGGAGCTTCTGGACAGGAAGGGGGTCCTGGTGGACCTTCTAGGCCAGGCTGGGCAGCCAGGAGATGGAGGAGAAGGAGGTACTGGCTGCACTTTGTTGAATCTCTGTGCCTGGCCCCCTACCACCCTTGGGGAGAAGGTGCTAAGGGTCCACTGGGGTTAAGGTGGTGCTTCCTTGGGACTACCCTTTCATGATCACAGAATGGGCAGAGAACTTCTAGAATGATACATGATTTCTTTTGCTTTCTACAAGCCTCCATGAGGCATACGGGCTATTCTGCCCTGTTTTTAGGTGAGCACACTGGAGCAAAAAGATCCAGTCACATGCCCAAGGTCACGGTGATGGAGCCAAGGTTGAACTTAGGTGTGTCCAGCCTCAGAGTCTATGATCTAAGCAAGAAGGTCATTGGTGCCGAGAGACCAGAGTCCTACAGTGTGCTAATGAGGGCCTCTCAGAGCCCAGAGAACATAGGGGCTGCTGGGTAAATGACAATGTTCTAGAAGGAATTCACACACCAAATCCACTGTCATACAGTGGGTGCCAACGCATAGCAACCCTATGAGGTGGAATAGAATCACTGCCCTGTGTATGTAGTTTCCAAGGCTATATAAGTCTTTATGGAAACTGACTGCTACTCCTTTCTCCCGTGGCTCAGCTGGTGGGTTTGAACTGCTGATCTTGCAGTGAGCAGCTGGGTGCTTAGTTCTTCTGCCACCAGTTCACACACAGTGAATGGGAAGTGACAGCTGGTGACACTTCATGGGCCTTCCTCTTGTTACCATCACAGTGCCCTTGAGAGGATGCTGCTGAGACAATCGCCCCGTTTTACAGATGAGAAAACTGAGGCCTGAGGTCACATGGCTCCGTGGGTGGTGGTGTTGGGATTTGAACCTAGGCAACTCACTCCTGAGTATGTGTTTGTGATTAGGGTGCTGTGTGCCACATCACCTGACAAAGGCAGGACTCACACTTGGGTCTCTCTAGCCCCAGGCTTTATACTTTCTAGAAACATCTGCTTGTGGGCCACAAAGTCACCATCCAGAGCCCAGTCAGGGAAATGGGGAGGGGCTCCTGAGGAAGACAAAACCTGAGGTTGTGGGGGGATTCTCTGAGGAAGAACATCCCAGGCACAAGAAACCCCTTGAACAAGGTGTCAAGGAGCCAGGAGGAGCTCGGCTTTGTGTAGTGTTCGTGGATGTGTTGACACCCCCAGTTGGTAAGCAGGAGCCCAGTGGTGCAGTGGATGAAGCTTCAGACTACTAACAGAAAGGTTGGCGGTTTGAATCCAGCAGCAGCTCCACGGGAGAAAGGATTTCCAGCCTCGGAAACCCTCTGGGGCCAGTCATACTGCTCTGTCCAGGGTCCCTGTGAGTCAATTGGCAGTGGTCTGTAAGCTTAGAGGAGGGGGCTCAGCTGTGTTTATTGACTAAATGAAGGAGGTAGCTGGAAGAGCCTAAGGAGGGTTAAGAGGACACTAGGGAGGTGACAGGAACTAGAGGAGAAGAAATAGATGCACAGGAAATAACCCCTCAGCCAGTGGTGTCCAAGCATGGCGGGACCCATGGCACTGACACTGTTGTAACCGCTGTGTGACTAGATTCCCGTAATCTCACAGAAACCGACCCTCCAACCCATGCCGAGGATTCCAGCGGCAACCCTGGAGGCGAGAAGTCCGCGGGCAGTTCCAAGAGGTCAGTCCAGGGGATATGGAGAATGGGATGGGCACTTACATCTCAGGAGGTTGGGGAGGCCAGAACCATAATGGGCTGAGCACCTGCTGTGTACCCACTGCTGTGTGGTCCTCGGCTGAGAGAGTGGATCATCAAAAGCTAATTGACATTCAGTTTGCCAAAATGTTTAACTCCCCAAGTGGCTGGTTCACCAGATGACCAGTTTGCCACAGGTCAGGGTGGCCAGGCTGCTGCACTGGGGGAAGGGCACTGCCCAGATTTAACTTCCTACAGGGATCAAGGTCCCCCAAGGTCTCCGTGTACTCTCCCCGATGACTGACACTTTTAGACCTGAAAGTGAACTAAAGATTGCTTATGAGAATTGTCTCATTGCCCAGGTGGGACAGGGCTGGTTCCCAGGGAAGACCCTTAGCGCAGTTGTTCTTAACCACACTGGGTCCTGATGTGCATACTTTGGCAGGCATGCTATGCAAAGGTCTTGGGTCTACACCTGTAACATCTGTAGGCGCTGGTCAGACACACAAACATGCTGTCCACTTTTCTCCCAGGCCCCTCCACAGAGGAATGCCTGGCCCACGCACAGCTGGACTCACTGTGGAGCTGTCCGCCACAGGCAGAGGGACCTGCCTCCAAAGTGGCCTTGTAAAACAGAACAAATGATCACTGGGGCCAGAAGGCTTGAGCTCAAGTGTCAGTCATCAGCGGGTGGGGTGCAGGGAGACTTTGGGGGACCTTGATCCCTGTAGGAAATTAAATCTAGGCATTGCCCTTCCCCCGGTGCAGCAGCTTGGCCACCCTGAGAGCACTCCTGGGTCATAGGTAAACTGGCAGTACTGTCTGTCCTCACGGTATGGAATAACCCTGAAAAAGATGAGATGGATAGATGGGCACACAGATGACAGACAGACAAAAATGGTAGATGGGTGGGTAGCCGGATGGATGGACAGATGGACAGAGATAGAGATGACAGATAATGGGTGGATGATGGAAAGATAGATGGGTGACTAAATGGATGGCTAGACATAGATGATAGAGTTGATGGATGGACAGACGGATGGACGGAGACAGAGATGATATAGATGATAGGTGGGTAGGTAAGTGAATGGATGGATTGACAGACATAGATGACAGATGATGGGTAGGGGTAGGTAGATAGACAGATGGACAGACATATAGATGACACAGATAGTAGGCAGGTAACTGGACGGACAAACATATAGATGGTAGAGATGGATGGACAGATGGACATAGAAGGTAGATATGTGGAGATGATGTGTGGGTGGTGTAGACATATACAGATGGCATGATGGGTGAATTGGCGGGGGGAGGAGTGGACAGACAGATGGGATGGATAGATGGATCACACTCATCCACAGTTGAAAGGGACATTCAGAAAACTCTTTTGCATCTGAACTGTACAAATTGACGTTGTGCTGGACCGACAGATCTGAGGGATGCAGCAGGGCAAGCCGACTGCAGCAAAGCTTAGGCCAAACTGAAAACACTGAAACCCAAGTTCCCAAATGAGCAAAGAGGTTCAACCAGTGGATGGGGCTGGGAGAACAGGCTCGCTGGGCTGCAGATGACCTTTAGTGGGCAGTGGATGGGGCTGGGAGAACAGGCTCGCTGGGCTGCAG